TATCCTATGTATATTTATGTACATACAATATGCATGTGTATATACAATACAAATACACATACATATATATATTTGGTTAAAAAGAAAAAATAAAATCCCTTTTTTATGAGATGAATATTCTTTCTGTGTTCCTTCTCCCCTGTACAAAGAGCAAAACTGCATCAATTGGCTCTACCAGACGTCGTAGATCCATACTCAAGTTTTCTCTCAGAGTCTGAACGGTTTAAGAAAAATATCACCATCATAGATTCGCTCCTCGAGTATAAGGAAACCGACAAGCAGATGCCAACGGGCACTCTTATTCCAGAGGTGGGTCTGAGGCCCAGCTCCCTTGTCCGCAGTCAGATGGAGATGGAGCACTGTGGGCTCCATGTGTTCCAGCACATGATTCCTGGGAAGAGCTGGTCGCCTGCCTGGGTGCCAGCTACTGCTCAGAGAACTTATTCATAATTTTATAACCACTGCACTGCCGGTGGGAAATTACCAACCACTAACCAGTTTAAGGTACAAGGAACCTAGGTTAACTTTATAAATATGATTTAAAAGTATTAGTCTTATAAAATAAATTTAAAAATGATTATAGGAAGGACTTTGTGAAATGCGATACTTCATTTTATAAAAGAAAATGAAAACATAACCGCAAGCAATTTTAAATAACATGGTCAGAACAATTCCTGAAAGACAGGTAGTAGCCAAATACGTTTGGATTTTAGATGATTGGACTTTATAAGGTTCTTTAAGAAGTAGGTAAAACTTTGCAATTGCTTAAAATAAGGGGAATGAGGACTGGTTGGTATGTTTGTTGCAAAAACAACTGAGTATACAAGAGCAGTTGTAAAGCTTTTAATCAACCGAATATCCACACACCATTGAATAGCACACACTCATCTGTGTCTGTTGTCTACATAGAAACCGAGGTCACTCAGGCAGGAGTTGTGATCGTGTTTTACCTTTGTAGCTCTTAAAAAATGTTCCCGAGAAAGCGAAGACCGTAAACAAGCTTTATCCCTCACTCCGCATTTTCTTCTCAGCATGGTGGAGGTATTAATTTTCTGCTGCTGCTCTAACAAATCATTAGACACTTGGTAGCTCAAAAGCCACAGGGCTTTGTCCCAGAGCTCTAACATGGTTAATCTGATTTGGGCATCCCTGGACTGCAGCCAGTGTGGCCAGGAAGCCACGTTGTTGCTTGATTTTCCTAAACGCAGTGACCAAAGCAAGTGGTATCCTTATCAATAAGTCCTCAGGCTCTTCTCAATAACCCAGGGGATGGTGATTGTCTGGGGGGCTTCTGGGACACCTCTTCCCGAGCAACAACTCATCGGGAAGTTTCTTGCACCTGGCGCTGGGCTCTTTGGTAACTGTGGTTTCTGGGAGGTATATCGTCCCCTAGCCCTCTGTGTAGGTGGCTCCAACTACACCCTTTCCTATATACTATATATTTTAGGACACTTATGCTTCTTCCAAACACCCCTTAGTTTGTGTGCCCCCATTCCCATGCCCCACCTTCCCACCCCCTTCCCTCTTGCCTTCCCTCCGCATCATCCCCTTCCCTCTTCATATCCCTTGTGTTTTACTCGCCCACTCTCCCACGCCCCTTTCTAGTTATTGGTAATTACCAGTACCCCATGTTAAACACATAAATATGAAGATTCGAAGCTGGGACCCTCACATAAGATAGAAGATTCAGCATTTCCCTTTCTGGGCCTGGGTGACCTTACTTGGTATAATGTTTTACATTTCCGTTTATCTGCCAATATAGTAACAGTTTCTCTTTACGGCTAAATAAAATTCCATCATGGATATTTAACATGTTTTCCACTACCTGTTCATCAGTTGACAGACATACAGGCTGTTTTCATGCCTTTGTGGTTTTGTTTTGTTTTGTTTTCATGCCTTTGTTATTATGAGTAGAACAGCAATGACCATGGATAAGTGGGTGTCTGTGGGTACCTATATAGCAGGATATTGAGGCCTCTGGGTGTATGCCCAGGCTTGGTACAGCTGGGTCATAAGGCAAATTATTACTAGCTTATTGAAGAATCTCCAATGTCTGCACCAGTTTTCATATGGGGGTCACAACCCCACAGTTTAAGATGTTGTACCTTAAATGACAGGTGTGTTTTTCCACTGTTCTGGAGACTGGGAACTCCAAGGTCTCGAAGCTTCCTGGTTTAGTTCCTCATGAAAGCCAGTATTCTGTCTTACAGATGCCTGTCTTCAGTTCAGGCTGCATCCTCACAGCTAGGACAGGACCTGGTACCTCTCACTTCCCCATCCCAGAACAGTGGGGGGGGGTACAATGGGAGGCAGGGATAGCACTGGACGGGACAGGACAAAGGGCAGCGGGACACCAGACAGATGACACACGACAACTCGACCCTCTCGATCTCATCTAAGAACTGAGTTGCCTCTCCAAAGGACCAGGTCCAGCACCTTAGCAGGTGTTGATGCTACAGACAGGAGCTCCAGAAAACACAGACATTCACTGCGTGGCCAGACCAGCCTCGGTGACCCTTACTGCTCCCACTCAAATGTGTGTGCGAGGGCCTGGACGAGGGTGACTGTGGTCAGAGTGAAAGGCGCTGCGCAGGGTGAGGCAACAGCGTAGGGGAGACTCTGAAGTGTTGTGAAAGAGAATGTGCGGCTAGGAGCCTTTTGATTGTTAAGGAATGTCTAATTAAATCTGGGACATTCCAACAGAACACCCACAGCACGATGAACCCCAAGAGAGGTCGCTTCCACAGACGCGGCCTGTGAGCAGAGAACACAAGCCACATGCTTATGATTTGTACAGCCACATTTATTTCATTTTCCTTAGACTTTGTGTCTTTCACACCATGTGCCTCCACCGCATTCCTTTCCCCATCCCTTTGTATCCACCCTCTGCCCTTGCAGCCGCCCCCACCACACTTAAGAGAAAGAGAGAAGGAAAGAATCGATCTCGCCATGGAAACTGTAGTGTGACACAGTGAGTCACACACAAACCCTTTTGTCCATGTATCCTTACTCGCAAGTGTGCATTTCAGAGAGTCGTTGGTCTGGTCCGAGGCCTCTGGCTTCTGCTACACTATGGATGCTGGGCCCTCACTGGGGCTCCTCTTGATTATCCTGATCGTACCCTGCGTTGTGGAAATCCTGTGGCTTTGGGAGGAGTCATCCCTGGGCTAGTGGTCCTGAGTTCTTTAAAAAAGCAGACTGAGCAAGCCATAGGGGAAAACTGGATAAGCAGCAAGGGTGTGTGTTAGTGTGTGTGCGTGTGTGCATGTGTTGTATATAAGTGCATGTTGGCTTATGTGTGCTACCACTCAAATGTGATGTCAGAGGACGCTACATCAGCTTTAGCCTCCAGGTTCCTGCCCTGCTTGAGTTTCTGTCCTGACTTCCTTCAGTGATGTACAATGATGTGGAAGTCTAGGCCAAATAAACCCTTTCCAACCCTTTCCTCCCCAGCTTTTGGTCATGGGGCTTCACCAAAGCAATAGAAACCATACTAAGACACCTCGTGAGGACATGGTCAGGAGCTATATAGTCTAGGCAGGGGAAGTCAGCCCCTGTCTTTGCCTATGTTAATTAACTGGAGTTTGGAATGTAAACAGCTGTCAGGGATGGTGACACACATCACTTCTGCTCAGAAAGGCCCAGTGGTGTGGTTAGCATTCCTGGGCTGAAGAAATAAAGGCAAATTGCACTTCTTGTGCTTGCTCCTGGGTTCATCCCTGATCCCCCTGTGTGCAGGGGTGGGGGGAGTTGGGTGGGGTGGGGGGATCCTCTCTGCCCCACCACTCAGTAACTCTTTTAGTGGCCACTAAGTCTTGTGGGTATGAAATGCTTCTTTCTCCTCCATTTGTGTTTTTCTGATGAGTAATGATTTTGAACAATCAGAACCCTTACATTTTTCTTCATATGAAAATAACAAATATTAACACATGTATGCCTAGTAATTCAAGTATAAATATATTTGCTTATGCCCCATACTTTTGTATTCATATATGTATTATATAATATAGTCCTTCAAATATAAGCATCTGCTGGGTGTCTGTCTGCTATCTGCTAAATATTGGTCTAGACCCTAGTCACTGGGACTGTACTAGTCAGGGGATAGCCCCAAATACCCACCATCCTGGAGTTTAACATGTAGATGGACCCCCTCCCCCAAAAATAAAATAAAATACCATGTATTACAAAGGTTTTTTTATAGCTACTGTGTGTTAACAAGTACTTTGCCTGCATGTATGTATTGTACACGTGAGTAGTGTCTAAAGAGAGCAGAAGGATGCTGGGTCCTCTAGAAATGGAGTTACCGATGGCTGTGAGCTGCTATGTGGGTGCTGGGAATCAAACCCAGGTCTTCTGGTAGAGCAGCCAACATTCGCAGCCTCTGAGCCATCTCTGCAACCCCACAGCCTGTAGTTTAATGAGCTTAAATCTGAGTTTGGCTCAGCCATTTCACATCATTAAATCATATGTTCTGTAACTGTAAAAGGGAAACGGTAATAATCACAACTTTTTAATGTGTATGAATAACTTCCCACAGTGCCATATCAGAGAAACAAAATACAGCAATGGGAATCACAGTAATGTGGTTGTATTTTTCTACTCATTTCTAATTTTTCTTCAATGATAGATTTTAGTTAGAATTACTGGAATATTATACTTACTGTGTATTCATTATTGCTCAAGTTTTAGGTCTCATTTGGCTTCAAACCTACTTTGAATTTGGTTGATTTTGAGATCTGTTATACCCAGTTTTTTTTAAGTTTCAAAAGTCAAGAACCCGAGAACCTACATGTTTTACAAAACTACATCTTGTCAAATTGCCCAAAATGTGGGAAAATCCGTAGAACGGCCTGAACTCGGAGTGGGGATCTGTTACTGTGTCTGGACCGACCCTCGATTTAGCAGTGAGGTTATGCAGACGGCTGGCGTGGGGTCCTCTACAGAAATGCCTGTGACCTTGTCAAGCTTCACGACAACAACTGTTTGTCCTTCTTTCTTAGATAATGATGCTGAGAATGATCTTCAATCAAACGTCCGTTGAACACTGCAAGACACAGATGGGAAAGGGGAGAGAGTGCAACTCCTTCCTCATTGCAGTTCGCCTGGCTTCGCTGAACCAGATCCTGGACCCCTGGGTTTATCTGCTGCTAAGAAAGATCCTTCTTCGGAAGTTCTGTCAGGTAGCAAATGCCGTCTCCAGCTGCTCTAGCGATGTACAGAAAGGGCAGCCCATCTCATTGTCTAATGAAATCGTACAGCCAGGGCCGTGAAAGTGAACATAGCCAATGTGCACACAGCTTTTGCAGCCAATATCCCTCGGACCGCGGCATCTCTGGTATGCTGCTGTTTATGCTTTGGAATGGAATTTTTGATATAAAGCTGGATGGTCTGAGGAGCATAGATAATCCCTTCTGTGCCAAAATCTTGAAATACAAACAGAGGAAAATCTGTTAATAACAGTCTAGCAGTTTGAGTCTCTGCCATTTGTGGCTGAATATGGGGTTATTTATGTGATGAAACACTTATGATAAATGACCTTGAGCTACTTGGGTACAGAGAGTTGCTGTCCAAGCACACTGTGTGTGGGGAGTTTGGAGTATAAACCCTTGGGTAGGGGACCAGGCCGTAGATATTTGTTTTGTCCAACAACATTGGTTGTGTTCTCTTTCATCATTGTTTCTGTGACTTTTGCTTCTTCCGTTTTTACACTCAAATTTTAAAGAATCTAGTTGTGTTTTTAAAAGTGTATAAGCTATCCAGTATCCACATATGTGTTGTTTTGATGCTATTTAAATATTAAATATTGTTCAATACATTGTTAACTCATAACCCTATAAAACTTAACTTTTGGTTGGGTTGGTCAGGGAGTTTACTCCTTAACTAAATAAGAACCAGTTCCACAGCCGGGCGGTGGTGGCGCACGCCTTTAATCCCAGCACTCGGGAGGCAGAGACAGGCAGATCTCTGTGAGTTCGAGACCAGCCTGGTCTACAAGAGCTAGTTCCAGGACAGGCTCCAAAACCACAGAGAAACCCTGTCTCGAAAAACCAAAAAAAAAAAAAAAAAAAAAAAAAAAAGAACCAGTTCCACTTTTCCAAATACAACAGTTTCTGTCCACCCACTGTTGCTGAATGTTCTTTCCTTTGAATACATTTTGCATTCTCAGAAGTCCGGGGAAGAGTCATAGCTAATCTATGAGAGTCAGGAAGCTACATTTCAGAATGCTACCTAAAGACTGGATTGAGAACTGTTCTAACTAGTGTTCTCTGGTCTTTAAATACCAATTCTCATTCTAGAGCCAATAGGAATATAGAAACTAAATAGAGATGTTTTCATGCCCGACTTTCTTATAAGATAGGAATATTAATGATGGCTTGCCCTGCCCTTGGGTGAATGCTATTTCACAGTTCTGCTGCTGGATTGGCTTTTCACACCGCTATAAGGGCACACGGCTTGACGCTTTTGGCTTAGTGTCTTCTTGTGGCACAGGTAAATTACAACCAGAAGCTTTGGGATTTGAAGGGTTAAAAGTTACCCCACAAAGACTGGGCTCCTTCAGGACCATCCCATATACTGCCTTTATTCTTTGTCACACACTCCCATTTTGCCAGTTAATGTGAAGATTTTGAGTTGTACTTTATTGTTCCCTAGTTTCTTCAAAGCTTGGGATTTCTTTCTGCTTCTTACATAGTGACATTTTCTTTGTGGTTAGTACCAGTCTGGATGACAGTTGATTGTAACTGCTACAGTGTATCTGTTAGGTCAATTATGCCCACTGGCCTGGATGAATTAGGATAATTAGTCTAAATGATCACATAAAAGTGAGTCAGAATATAAAGTCTAGTGGAGGTGCTGACACCACCCAGGATGGCTCCATGATCCAGATGTTAAAATAAAGACACAAATATAGGGCTATATATACTAGCCTTGTTATAAAAATCTCTCTTAGATATGTTTCATAGCGTATAGGACAACATTATCCTCCCCCATCCTCAAACAACTGTATCCAAAAAGAGGCTTTGTTTGCCTTTGGAGTGTTCTGAGACCTTCTGTGATGAAGTAGACACACACTGCTGGATTTGAGTGGTGAAATGTAATTTTGTTGCTGCTTCCCTGACTTACCTTTCACTTTCACTTACTGTAGCCTCTGGAATATAGGACTTTCCAATAAACCTTGTACAGTGGACGAGTGAATGAGATTCTGCCAAAAACTTCTGCTCACTCTTGGGGCAGTTGACACATCTGTTACAGCTCATCCAGCCTTAAGGCAAATGGCTTCTTATTTAGTTGAGTAAACAGAGCTCTGGCCTTAGAAAAGTTTGCTGTATGGTTGTATGGTACAGTGCCATCTGTATTAATTGTCTAGAGGATGTATCTTCAGCTGGTAAAGAGACAACTAGCAAAACGACATGATTTTCCATCAAGCTGCAAACACAGATCAGGCTGAAATGCACCCTTGGCTACGAAACCCATTCCTGCCCAAGGGTTCCATAGCAGGAGTAAATGAGTGGCTGTTTTTGACCACGCTTGAAAAGGAGTCAGAAAGGGAAGAAACTGTAAGTTTTGTTATCTGAGAAACCATTGGATAGGAAGTAAAAATCCTCCACAGTCTCAGCTTGGGATGGTTGGAGTTCAGTGATGTGCTGTGGAGAAAGGGGGCTTCTGCAGGCAGAAGGTGGCGTCTCGATCTCTGAGTTTGATTAACTGGCCTTGAAGTTTACTCCCAGACAGCTGGTTTGTCATGCATATGTATCCACATGAAGAAGAATGCATGCATAGATTATAGCTCTTTTCTGAACTTGAAAGTATTCATTAGAATCTCAAAAAACCACACAGAAAGAACAAGTGAATGAAATATAGAGACGCATTTAAAATTAATAAGTGTCTATGGTTTTCAAATGAATTTAGGCTTCATTTAATGTCATAGATGCCAGAGATGATACGTTGTCAAATACAAAGAGTTAATGTTTCAAATAAAATGGACTTAGCAAATATCTTCAAATACTTTCCAGCTGGAGAAGCAAAATGTGTTACTGTAACTTCTCAGACTACAGAAATAGAGGCCAGATGATCACCCCAAATTGAAGCTACTCTGGCTTAAGGGGTGATTTCCTGCCAGCCAGGCAACACAGAGACTGCATCTCAAAAAACAACACCAAAACAATGAGATTTATCAAACTTGCCTAATGCTGTATACCAAGATATTTTAAACAAATATGTTTAATCACAATAGGTTTAAACTATTCTGAAATGAAAGCATATGCATATTTCTGCTTAATTCTTCTTTATCTCATAAAAGATCTCTTGACAGAGTTATAGCAAAATATTGTAAGATGTCCCATATATTAAGATTAAAAACTCATAGGCAGGACCCGAACTGGTGGCACCTTGGCTGTATCCTGTTGCTTGAACTTTAGATGGATTTGATCCTTTATTTTACCAATGGTTTTCACAGTGTTATTGGTTGGGGCCCTAAATTAGTCACTGGCTCTCAGGCTTCCCAGCATAAAAATTGTTCAGTCATTCAATGGCACTTCGGGATTGAGAGCAAAAGGGATGGAAATAAGAAAACTTTGTTCTTTTACATTTGTTGGTGTGTGTGTTTCCTTGGATAGTTTTTAGATTCTGGAAAAATCGAGATTTATTGAGAAGCCAGGGGAGATGTATGCAATTTACATACTCTTCAAGATTCTTGGTGCTTTAGAAAGGGTAGCCATGTGGGTGTGGGTGTGGGTGGAGACCATGGAGGCAGTCGGGAGAGTTGTCCACTGCAACCCGTTAGAATTCTTGGTCTTTTAAGGCTGACTCAGAGGCAGAGACAGGAATGGACTTCATTTACCCTTACACACTGCTCACCCTGAAGACAAAGAGGTGTGGCCTGGACTTGTTTTTGTAAAAGAAAATGATAAACTTATTCACTCAGATAATCACTAAATTAGAGAGAGGGAGGAAGGGATGGAAGGAGGGAAGGAGGAAGAGGGAAAGAGTTGGAGGACTGAACCTATTGTCACAGCAATTACTGTGGTCGGCTCACAACCAACAGACACAATCCCACAGTCTGGTGTGCGGTTCTGGCCACATCGGCACTTGAAGCTCCACTGCAGAGCTCAAATAGGGAGTTCCCCACTCTCCTCACTGCCTCCTCCCCACATGCTTGGCAATGCAGAAAAATGCGTCTTACCACCTTGTGTAAGCTTTTTGGGTGTTTCTCTGCAGTGTATTTAAATATACCTTCCATGTGTTTTACAGCCGATACTCGATATTATGTAGACAGAGAATGAATGTATGAGATGTATATCAGAGTTATGACTGCATCCAAGGACAGCTTGTCTGTGTATTTAATAAATGCCTGTTATTTATGGAGTCTGTCAATGGAAAATAAAACAAGTGATCTGAAATGTCCCTGTCTTTATTTCCGGATCTCAGGAATGTTTTCTTGTCTGGGATATCTGCTTGACTATGGTATCTTTCTGATTTCCTACTTGCTCTGTTTGGTCAGATAAAAACCCAGTGTCCTGGAACAGCCATGTCCTGTTGGAACGACTGGTCGGTTTTGGTTCTGATTCCAGAACCCCGTGCAGAACATCACTAATTCTTTCCACACTGGAGAGATGCTCTGTCCACATTTTCAGTATTCTCTCTCTCTCTCTCTCTCTCTCTCTCTCTCTCTCTCTCTCTCTCTCTCTCTCTGTTGTAACCTCCTGATAGCTGTTTTTAACACAAAACCTCATTCATAAATTCCTTGCTCTTGCGGATTCCGCTGTAAACACTGGCCCGTGAGGTAAGAACAGTCCTTGTGCATATCAGAGCTTTTGCCTAACAGTCCCTAGTGTTGATGAGAATGTGTACCTGTCTCACATTGAGCTCTGTAGGTGGTGAAATACCAGGATTTATTTTTTTAAAAAAAAATTCAAGTTGGGGGGGTGGTTAGTGGAATGGCTGAGCAGATAGGGGGACTGGAGATCCACATGGTAGAGGGAGGAACCAGCTCCAGGAGATTGTCATCAGATCTCCACATGCAACCCTGGCACATATATGCACTCACACAGAAAGAGAAAGACAGGCAGACAGCAGATACAGAGAACACACACACACATATATGGAGTCACACACAGACACCCCCACACAGGCACTCACACATAAACACACAGAGACTCACACACACACACACACACACACA